GAGGAGGAATCTGAAAAAACTCTCAATGAGAGACTTGCTTTGGGTGCAATGTTTGCTTATAGGCAGCCTTCTTATCTGAGCCAGAACAGTTATGGGCCCCTACTCATGATAATGGGACAGGCCTGGAAAGCCCTTCATCTGTTGGCTTCATGTCAGTCCCATTAAGCTAATGAAGTATTGATTTTGGCTATAAACTTCTTAATTGGGGAATCCACTCATGACAATGATATTTCTGCTTACTGGCTGAGCCTTCACATGATGGGTCTCCTGGATCCTGCCGTCTGACGGGGGCTCTTTTTCTCTGACAGCAGCCTTTCCTCTTCCATGCCTTGTGTGCTGACAATGGCATGGCCTCAGTATTGCTTATTTCAGGCTGTGTAGCTAGTGTTAAGAGAAACCTATAAATGCCATGCCTCTTGAAACAGTAGTAAAATCAGTTCCCATTCCAGAGCAGAGCAGTCCTAATTTCTAAATCAGTCTATTATCCTGATGGGATGACCAGCTTGCCAGAGAGAAGCATGACCATTAATGAGATCTCTTAATCGGCAGGAGCAGCCAAGTACTGGCAAGTGACTGAGGGAATTCTTCCGTTTTATGCAGAGTGAAATGCCTTTGATCCAAGCAACCAGCTTGGTCTCAACAAGGCAGTAGCCTTGGTTCAAGTTTATTCCTGGGGACTTGGTCATTGCATCAAGTCAACTCAGTCTCAGGACTAACAAATCTAATGTGCGATAGGATGTACAAGCCTCATCCTTACAAAATGGAATGGAACTGACTTGCTTCAGGGGATTGTAACTCTGAAGGCAACTTCTGTCCCTAAAACAGTAATTCGCAGACTAGTGGCCTTGGCCAGGCCAGTGTCTATCTCATTTGTGGCACCTTCATGCCTTTTACAATAAACCACTTGAATTGATTCTCTTAATGCAGGACTATCCCATCTCCGATGTCCATCTGATTTTGAAGAAAGCAAAGGAGCTTCAGGATTCCAAATAGTCCATGAGCCTGGTGGTGTCAGAGGAACTGTGCAGTAGCATATGCTAGGAGACGCCCTCTTACAGTTTGGTGCGTTATCAGAGCTCCTGCAAACCTCTGCAGGGCGTTGGGTTTTGTGTTCTGCCTATTGGCCTTGTTGAAGACTTCCTTCCACTATTTATTAGGTCATGGACTGACTATTCCCAGCTAGACAGGTCCTGCACTCCAGGTTTTCTGAATCTCTAACAACTCCATGCTGCCTAAGCAGCTGTTTGTATCTTTTTTTTTTTTTTTTTTTTTAATGACTAAGTTTGGGGAGATAGAAACTGTTTAGCTGAGTATTCCTCAAAGTCTTACAAAACACTTCTGTGTCTATAGCATTATGAAAGCGTGTGCTCACACATGGGGATTTCTGTGATAGGGGAAAGAATGGGATGGATCCAGTGGAGTTTGGTGGGTAAGTAGAGAGTCTCCCTTTTAAATAGAATGTGTCTCACTCAATCAGCAGGATTTCGTGCCTGTGTCTGCACCTTGTCCTCTCTTGGGCATGCAACAAGAAAAAGATCAAGTTCACTGTCCTTCTGGTGAGTGTTAGATGGAGCTCTGCAGTTCTGACCTCTTTCCATGGGAAGGAGGCTTTAAGAAGCTGGGGTGGGAGAATGCTATTATAGCTGGCTGCTTTGTGCAGTGAGATTATCTGCTCTCTAGTAGAGCCTGGTCTAAAACTGCCTTATCAAGGAGCTCTCCTTGATGATGACCTTACTTGGAAGCATAAAGTAGGGGTGTGGTTTTAATTGGTGAGTGAAACAATTTAACCAAGTCAAACAAGCCTTATTTTACACAGCCTTAGAGTAGGGGCCCTGCTACTGCAGAGAGGCTTCAGGTCTTGAGCTATCTTCCATGCCACTTGTGTGGAATCTACATTTATTCCAAATTAAAGACAGAGTCTCTAATTGCAAGCAGGATTCTAAAGCACGAAGGGGCAGGTCTCCAGTCCTGTGCTGCCCAGACTGGAGTCTTCAGTGGGGACTTCAAAAGGCATAATGTGGGTTTTGCTATGAAATTGGCTTTTTGCCTTTGAATGTTTGTAATGTTACCTAGACTACTCCAAGCCTTTCAAACCAACTTCAGTAACCTTTGGTCAGCGTAACTTTTTCAGTCTGTGATAATCCTTGCTGGTAAGTGATTTGAGATTATAAATTAGATTTTGTGTGCATGTGCACACGTACTGTCTTGGGATGTGATCCTTTTGGAGACAGAAGCAGTAAGCTGGTAATAGCTGATGCTTTGGGATACCCTTTTTCTCAGAACATCTGAAGGAGAGAGTGCCACATGCTGGTACAGCCCCACCAGAGCGGGAAACCACTATATTCCAGGCAAATACAGTGGATCACAGTATATCTGCATCATCCAAGATTAGGAATTGGGATTGGGGCGGGAGGGACTTGCAGCCTACAAGCAGTGTCCTGGTGATCAGAATGGGGACCCAGAGTGAGCATCAGGTGATTTTTCTTTTTTTATAGCGGTGGGAGAAACTGGAGTAGCTGAGTACTCCAGATGCTGTGAACAAACACTAATCCAGGATGCTGTGCTTCCCGCTGTCAGGACAGTGCAGAATTCCAGTTGTCCAACACTGCAGTTGTCTCGTATTTAAAATCTGTGTATGGATTTTTGTGTGTGTGTGCATTGCTCTTATTAAAAGCCAACTTTGTGCTTTCTCAGAGCTCACTTACCCTGCTGAGTCCCACTAGCAGATGAGCCACAGTGCCCTGAGGTGTGGTCAGCCTGCTGAATGTTGGGCGAGGACTTAAAACGGCACTAAGGAATGATCCAAGTCCTGTGTAAACTAGTGAATGTAAGGGGGGGGGGGGGACATGAGGAGGGAATGTCTTTCCCTTGCCTTGGCATTGGGGTTGTTAACAACTCCCTTAGCATGATGCTCAGCTTTTGTGCTGCTTCAGCTTCCATTGACTGGAACAGTACAGAGGATGCAGTGGTGACATTTTAAATGTGTGTGAACTGGAGGGAGGATAGCAGTTTTTAAGTGTGTGTGTGAATGCTACTTATCAGGCAGCTTCTTTCTTAAGGAATGAGAAGGCTGAGAGAGGACTACAACTTTCAGCCACTTAGTCATAAGAAGTATGAGAAGTAGACATACCTGTACCAGTTATTCCAGGAATTAGATTCTTCTGCTACACTGCTTTTGTGTTAGGGAGACCAGTGCTGAGTGAGTAGTCTTTTATAATCATAAAGCCAGCTGCTACATGCAGGCATAGAACTTGAGGATTGGGCTGTCTGGCAAAACTCCCATCAAACTTCCCGAGGTGTGTTGCTCAAAGTGGAAAGCTCGTTACACAATGGCAAGGCTTCAGCGTTGCTCTGGATGCCTGTAGTGCGTGTGGTGGGGGTTGGGTTTGGTTTTGTTCATTTTGTTTTTCTGTAACCTTTGCTTAACCTAAAGCTTATACATGGACTCCAAAATGCTTCCAAGGCACCTGAGCCGTGTGGCCTGTCCTCTTGCACAACTCCATAAGCAGCACTACAGTTCTGGCGCATCGGCTGTATTTCTTTTAATAACTTACAAATAACTAGCAGGCTGCGAGGCCAAAATCTCTCATGAACCACTCTAGATTACTTGACTTCATGAACATTATGTTCATCTGGGATGCTGTCAGGCAGATAAGGTTGCTTGCTGATGCATAAAGGCCTGAAGAAGAACAGAGTTTGCCTCTCCATTCCTAATTTCTGGGAGACATGCAGAAAGTAGGCATATGGTCTGACAATGGAAACCAATCTGGGGCTGCTTATGCTATGTGGAGTAACCTGCTCGGACTCTAAACTAAACTTAATTTTGATTTGAAGTCAATGGGAGTCCTTCAACTGATTCTTAATGCTGAGTTTGGTCAGGTGTTTGCATGGGAGTGTAGCTTTTCTAATGAGGGAAGAGATTGACCAATGGTATAATCCTCTGTAGTCTTGGGATACTTGGGCCTACATGCCAGTGCTGGGGGGGGTGTTTTGGTGGTTTTCTCCCTGGCTAGTATGTTCAGTTTAGGTGGTACAAAACCTCCACCCCAATCCTGCCTAGTCAGCCTAAGCGATATAAGGGTTTTAAGCAAAGACCTCTTGTGCGTTAGTTGGTGACAGTAAGTAAGAATGAAAGGAGTGACCCTTGCCTCTTAGGACAGGTCACAGATGACACTCCAGGAAAGAAACAATGCCAGAAAGGCTCCTTTAGAGCTTTTTCCAGCTAGGGGGAGGGCTTGGCTATTAGCCCAGGCATGCTGGTTATAGCTGATTCATTTGATGTTAAGCACCATGTATAGGTTCCACTGCAGAACTTGAAAGACTTTATTATGCCTTTAGTCATCTGGGAGATGAAAAAGTGTACATTAAGGTTGAGTTTCTCGAGTGTGAAACAAGGTGGGAGAAGAATGAGCACCTATGCTGAGGGATGTTGCTGGTGTGTGTTTCTGTTTCCCCTCCCCCCCCAGTTTAAAAGCAGAGAATCTCTCCATTCCAATGCAGTTAGTGAGACTATTGTTCTTCTTTGCACATTGCAAGGGCCACTTTAGCTGTCCAAGATCCTCTTTGTTCTGGTGTCTGTCTTTTTTCCCCTCCCCTTGAGATAGCAAGGGCTGCTGTTTGGATCCTGAAGGAATAGGGAGGCTGTCAACAAGGAATTCTTCCCTTTTCTTTAATGATATTTTGAAGTTTAACACTGCTAGCACTTATTGGTACTGTGGCTCGTTTCAGTAGTGGGGAGGAGACGCACAAACACTATGTCTCTTGTAAGCTCTTTGAATTAGTTACCTTGACTTTCCTTGAATTGTTTTGCAGCTGGACAGTAACTAGCTTGTAGTTGAGTCCTCTCACATGATCACGAAGTAACTGCCCCCAACTTAGAAGCAGACTTCTCTCTCCAGAGCCTGCTCCGTTACAGGAGCAGCTGTCTTGGCTGAGGCCAGTAGCAGCCCATAGTTGCTTGTATACTGTGACACAACATTGTGGAATCCAAATACCTTGTTAGCTAGGATACTTGCTTAGCTTCATGCAGCACACCTAGAGCTCTTCCCAAGAGCAGGACAGATGCCTCCACAGTGGCAGTGGTCCTCCACTGGAAGTGGGGGGTGGGGGGAAGGATGAATGGAGATGCGGTGCACTGGTCATAAGGAAGAAGGCCAGGACCCCTGCCCTTCCCTTCCCCTTCCCACAATTTTGTGCTGTGGAATCTTGTAGCCTTGGCAATGGTCAGGAAAAGGAAGTGGAGAAATCTAGGGGTGAGGGCAAACCTGGGACTGGCCATGGTTTTTTATAAAGAATTTTCTTTTTTTTGGAATGAGTGTCATACATGGGTCAATGTGTTGCTGAGTTGTTTTGTTTTTGTGGTCTAAACTGGAATTTATTTTTAGCTCCGCAATGGATAGAGTGAAGGTCAGGAGCTGCTGTAAGAAATACAGGGGTATTTTGGCGTGCAAGGGCTCTTTCTACTTTTTTTTGTATGTTTTAGCTACCTTTAAAACTTTTTTCTAAAATGCCCTTTCACAGAAGATTGCGGGGCGGGGGGGACCACACACTAGTAACCTCTACAAGTTTTCAAGGGAAGTAAATCATACTTTTCTCCTTTTCGACTGGAAAAGAAATCAAGACGTGAGATTGAGATCATGTCATCTATGTGCAAAGCTTTCCCCCCCAGCCCTCTTTCTCAGGTTTAAACACTATTTTTTTTTTTTCCTCTTCATGCAGCTCCTTTCCATTAAATTAAGGGCTTTGTACAAAAATGATCTGTTCTCTATACAATGCAATTCACCCTTGCCACAGGTTGCGCTAGGATCCTAAGCTGCTATATGTGATAAACTACAGTGTGTGTGTTTTTTTTTGTTTTGTTTTGTTTTTTTTAAATGCCCTCTTTCCTTCGGACTGTGAAAAACCAAGTGAGTGTGTGTTAGTTGGATGTCAGTAGCATTAACCTCTGGTCTTCTATATTTCAAGAGTCTGTGTTATAGCAGAGTTGTTCTGCATGTGTAAGTTATTCTCATTGCCACCATACCCTAGGCTCCCCTCCTGTTTGTGTGTCACTCCTAAACTAAACTTTTTTACTACCTGGTTCCATAAAATCATGGTCCTACTGGGCTAGGGAACGGGGGTTGTATGGTGTAGCCCGCACTTACAGGGCTGTGTTGCTCTAAACTTTAACTAACAACATCTGGGTATATCCTTCAAGTACAGATATTCTCGCTAGGTCACACTATCAAGTTAAATTTTTACATGTACAGTTGAGTAGGCTGTTGCATGAGCTATTGCTGGAGCTGTGCAAATGCACCAGGAGCCAAGGTGTACTGGGACACTGTTACCCCTGAGGGTGGTAAGGATCACTGGACTGGTAGCAGCAAGGGCTGCGTTGCTAGAAATGAATGATTGTCAGATTCATGGAAGATGCTCGCTGGCTCTAAGCGTAGGGAACAAAAGCACGTGGCTGTGCAAAGGCAGGCCAAAGGTGGGAACGGAAGAATCCTCCATGACCAAGCTGTTCCTCCTGCCTGTGCTGATTTTATAATGTTGTTTTATTCCTGTACATCTCACATGAGCTGTGGGGAGTTCTTGTTTCCATGACTGCTGTTCTTTTTGATTTGTCTTAATAAACATTTTCTCTTTGCAAAGCTGACTTGAATTTTCTCCTCCCCTTGCAGGAAGGGGTAACTGGCTTTCAGGTGTCCTTTGCCCTGACCTAGGCTGTCATGTAAAGAAAATTTCCAGCCTTTGTTCAGTGCTGCTTCTGCTGTTGAGGAAGAGCAGCCCCAAAGCCTGAACTTTTAGCCCCTTTTCTAGTTTCAGGAGCAAGCTGCCTCTGTGCCTCCTGGCTGCAGAGGGAAACACATATATGAAGCCCTGGAGCTGAATGGCTCCCGTTTAGCCGTGGCCTTGATCGTATGTGGGTCCGCTGCCTTTTTAAAGCCTTGATTTTTCTCCCATGGATAGCACAGCCCTCTGTCTAGGCCCTGGCTATGTCTGCAGGCACTGGCACCATTTCCCAGGGGGAGGGATGACTGTAATAGGAGCTGGATCCTGCCAGGGCCTGGTGCTGCCCCTTGCAGAGGGAGCAGATGGGACTGTCCTGGCCAATGTTGCCAGGTCTTAAATACAGAACTACAGTGTTGGAAGCTCAAAATTATAGTATTGAAAGCTCAAAATGATCATATTTGCTGAAAAACTACTGTACACTGAAAAATATGTGAATAAGTATGCAAATAAGCCTTATTTACTTTGTATTGTTCACTGTAAACCTCCGAGAATGAGTGTTGAAGCAGTTCTTTATTGAGGTGAGCAGTCATAAGGTAAGACTCCCTGAATGACTTGGGTTTTGCATGTAGGGGGAAGCACCACGTATTGGGGTCCGTGAAGGCAGTTTTCCTTAAGTGGCCGGGGGATAACTGTTCTTTTGGCATGATTTAGTACCCACCGAGGTGTTGAGGCTTCAAGCCCATTTTATGGAAACAGGAGGCTCCTCTCTTGCTTGCTCCTGTGGCCTTGCAGCAGAGCAGGTGAAACGCAGGGGGCATCCGAACCTCAAGTCTCCAGGCGTGGGCCAGCATAAGGATGCCTGCTAAAAGATGTTGGAAACAACTGAAGCCCCAGGTGGGATAGATGTTTGCCAGTTGTAGGGCCACATCTGGTTCTGGAATTGATTTGGCTTGGAACGGGGGAAAAAAAACCTCCCAAAACACCAACTTGGGTTTTGTGTGTGTGCTGGGCCTATTCGCTGCCTCCAAAATGATGGGGCATCCAGGTTGTAGCCCTCTTGGTTTAGAGCAGGGGTGGGCAAAATGGCTGTGGGTCGGACGGGGCCTGCCAAGCCCATCTATTCAGCCCGTGGGCTCCCTATTAAATTTTAAAAATAAATTATTAATCTGCCCTGGGCTGCCTGTCATGCGGCCCTGCAGGGCTTGCCAAAACTCAGTAAGTGGCCCTCCACCCAAAATAACTGCCTGTCCCTGATTTAGAGGCAAAGGAATCAGCTCCTGGTAGAGATGATATCTTTTATTAGACCCGCTTTAGACTTTTTTTTTGTTTTTTTGTTGTTGTTGTTGTTGTTGTTGTTTTTTAACTGACTTTTTTTGGGGGGGGGGAAATTGCAAGAAGGGCGTTTGTGCCCGGAAGCCTGCAATGAAATCATTTGGATTTTGCAAAAAGTAGTAGTAATAATAATAACCATTGCAGACTTCCAGGCACAACCCCCTTCTTGCAGTGAACGATGTTGCAAGGGAGGGCCGGAGCGCCCCGGCGCGTGTCGGCCGGCGGGCGGGCGGGGAGGGGCCGGGCTGGGCTGTCCCGCCCCGCAGGC